TTTTCCAGTTTTGCCTGCAGTTCAATACATTTTTTCTTTGAATCTGTTAGACTTACGTGAGTGTTAAGACGATAAGACATGAGTTCAAACTCCCCATCAGGTGGGATGAAAGAAATGGTCCGGTCATTTTCAAAGCGAGAGAGACGGACACACTGGTGAAACTTTACATCTTCCAATTCCACTGACTTGCTTTTGCCACCTATCAGAAAACATAAATACTAACTTGTTTAACATAACAACTTAAAAGCCTACATCCAAAGTCCAAACACAGCTCCTTATGAAAAAGTGTAATATTCCCCACATGAACTAGGACTATTCTAACTCACCACTGAAAATTTAGAATTACACACACGGGCCTGAACAGGACACAGGGGAATCCTGAAGGTAATAAGATAAAATGTGATGTTCTGTTTTTGCTCAGCACGCACGCACGCACGCACCCCTACCTTGGAATTCCAGTCTTGAAGGGAAGAAATGCATTGCAAGTCCAAAAGAATACATTTCCCCCCTGGATGTTACATGGGGCAGGGTGCTGTTGCTAATACCACTTTATCTACCTTGGTTGACTTAAGACTTCTCTATATTTAAGTACCCCTTGAATTCCCCTTTACCTACCTCTTCTCTTGCTCATAGTCTATGAATACATGCCTGCAATTTACATCTCAATCTGCCAAAGCCTAAATTTTAAATAGAGGTTTATAACCATCAAGAAATGAGGTATCATGATGTATTTAAGTAGCAATACAAAATCATTTAATGTGATAAACTGTTATAAATTTATTATTCCTAATATTGCAATGTAAATTATGGTGAACAATAAGTAGAACACAGAAAACTTGGGGACTAAAGTGAGTAATGTCCTTTGAAATGAGGTTTGCTTAAACACAAGGCTTAGTTTCAAGGGGAAATTGGATAGGCCCCTGGCTGGGGTCTTATGACCCCTCCCACCCCCAGTGCTCCTTCCTGCCCATAGCAGGAGGTCGGACTACATGATCTGTCTAGGTCCCTTCTGACTCATTGATTCTATGACTCTAAGGCTTCCACAACAGAAAGCTTACAAACTACAGCTAAGACAGATATAGGAGAAATGCTTAATTAAATACAAGGTATTTTGGGCCCAAAGCAACTAATGCGATAAAACTTCATTTACATTCCCCCTTCCAATTGTTGAAGCTGAAAAATGTCTCTGAGCTAATAAAACATTAAAAGAGCCCCTGCTATGAAACAGACAATTCTCTACTCCCAAGTGTTCACCAACCTGTGGCAGACATGCCACAACTTGTGTGGGCAGTGGGTCTGGCATGCAGCAGACTGGGGAGGGGATGGGTAACACAACAGCAAACAGAGGAGGGAGCAGAAAGCAGAGCAGCAAACAGGGCAGAGGAAGGGGATTGGGTTGGCACTTGGGGAGGATGTGGGAGCTAAAAACGGGTGGCCCCCAATGCTCGACTCCTATGCAGGAAGGCAACATGACACACCATTAAAGAACAAATGCTTTCCCCTGAAATGATACAACACTTGATCTTAGCCCTATACACATCAGAAGAGTAATAAACCAGGTAATACTGCTGCTATTCGAGACACCGCATACATACTCACGTCCTGTGTTATCAAAGAGTACTTTATCATTTAAACCAAGGCGAAGCTCTGGCATTCCTGAGAGAAAGACCCTCATTTTAATGGATCCAACTATCTCACTCCGTAATACATTGCCATTGGCACTAACCTAAAGAGCAAAGAGAGGTGGAGTTATTCTGATAAATCGTTATTGCTTGAAAATAGTATCAAATGCATGCAGCCCCACGTCCCAGATGAGTGGCATGAGGCTGGCTGGCAGGCTGGATTGAGCTCATTGTCCCCTTCCCCAGTACACCTAGCCAAGTTAAGACCCCCTGCTGCAGCGTGGCATCTGTGAGAACCATGTGCAGCACAGGTCCCAGACCTGCTGGAGGATTCACCAGAACAAGTATGTTGAGGAAGGGGGCCTGTGGGCCTGACCCGGCATGTGCCATACACCAGGTGGGTCCGATCAGACCCAGGGCAGCACCACAGGACAGATGGCAGACCTCTAGAGACTGAACATTTGATGCCCCTAATTAAAGGATAGTACAGTACATGAAACAGATTCTACTACACAGCACTTGTAATAAAAAAGGTTTCACATCACAGCCAACACAAATTATTTTTTAAATGCACAGAATGCTAGCAACTTCCCCTTGATCTTGGTTCTCATTATTTCTCATTTTAAAAAAATGCAGAATTCTCTCCCTCTTGGAAGTTATTCTATGAGAATAATACAGTTAAGATTTATGCATAAAGGGGGATTAGGTAGTTCAGTCTGGAAGTTACCAGACAAATGAAAATCCCATAAAAAAAATATGACTGAGATTCATAAGAATGATTAGATATAACTATTTATGCCATTGCCTTTATTGGATGATCAACCTTACTGACATTTAATTAAGTATCAAATAATTAAATATTAAATAATTAAAAAGTGATTTCAATTGTGATAGTATAAACAGATGCGTATAATCTCAATTGTTCCGTTTTTTGTATTTGCATGCTATAGCTCTTTACACTGTTTACTACTACATTTCTCATTAAAAAATATAAAAGGTATAACAGAAGTAAAATATAAACCTACCAAAAGGTTAACAGATTCTATAACGTCCAGAAACACCTCATTTTTCCTATATTTTATCCCCTCTGACCTCCAAGAAACAGCATTGGTAACAGTGGCAGGTGGACGTGGAGCTCCAGTTTCAAGTTTGTGGCCTTCCTGAGTGATGTACCTTCCATCACAGAAGTTGAGTGAAAGATATGAAAAATACTTTTTGTAATCTTCATAACTAGTATAGCAACACTGATATCAGCATGTAAACTGTAAACTAGGGAAAACCAGAAGAAGATATAAACTTTTTTTTTTTTTGCCAGCTCCTGTCATTTTACGTGCTTATTTATTTTCTGGTAAGATAGTGCAGTTATCTTTCAACAAAAACTGTAAGACTAACAAGTTTCATCAGCCACCTGGGGGTTAAGGAAAACGAACAAATTAATCTTCCAACTTCCCAAGCCATAAGAAAATGAGGCCTTTCTCAGATCATTCAGGTCAACATTTGTATGCTCCTAAATATTTTTAAACAATCTACCATATTGACATTTAAGTACCAGTACACAGATACTTACTCTTGTAAAATTTTACTATCAGTGGTTTGGGGATAACCAAAATCCATTAGCTCATCTAGCAATTCATAAATAATAACAAAGTTATCCCGAATGCTTTCTTCTTCCAACTCCTTGAAATATTCAGAAAATACCTGAAATGTTCAAGTTAGAAAAGAGTAAAGTCCTAGATCTGCAATTATATGCATTTAAAACAGTGGTTTCCAAACTAGTGTACATGTACCTGCAGGGATATGTGGCGTATTGCCAAGTGGTAAGTGCACAAATTCTTAATAATGGTGGCAGAGCTTTTGATTGTTCCACACACAGCCAATAAAAATGCATGCTGCACCTTGACACTGGTGCATACGCAGAGATGCAATGAGGACAGGCGACACAAGCTGCAGTTTTTTGGTTTTTGTTTTTGTTTTTTTTTTTAAAGGTACAGGGACAAAATCCTTGAAAACCACTGCTTTAAAACTTAATAGAAGGGGCTTATTATAAATGATACCAGAAAGTTAAATTCAATTCACATTACTTCCAAACCTCCATAACACAGCAGAACAAAGTTTTGATTGGACATTAGACAGAATTATGGTCACTGGAACCTGAAATCCCGAGTTTCCTGACATTCAAAGCATTATTTATTTAATGTTTCCACTTTTTTTTTTTTTTTTTTTAAGTCACAGAAAATGAGGCTTGGAAGGGACCTCAGGAAGTCAGAGTCCAACCCCTTGCTCAAAGCAGGACCATCCAACTATCATCATCTCGGGCAAAGCTTTGTCTAGACCCAGGTACAGAGATTCCACCACTTTGTGGTAACTTGCTCCAGTGCTCTACTACCCTGCTAGTGAGAAAGTTCTTCCTGATATCTAACCTCAACTTCTCTTTCTGCAGCTTGAGCCCATTGCTTCTTGTTCTGTCATCTGTCCCCACTGAGAACAGTCCAGCTTCATCCTCTTTGCACCCCCCTGCAGGGAGTTGAAGGCTGCTTTTAAATCCCCCCTCAGTCTTCTCTTCTTCAGACTAAATAAGCCCAGTTCCCCCAGCCTCATTGCTTAGAATGATTTTTATTTTGAAATCTTAAGATAGTTTTTTGTTTGGACATAAATTACTATAGCTTCTGAAAATTTCTGAAATAATGCAATTCTGTCCCGCACAGAGTGTAAGTCTCAACTAACAGACCATCTTTCCCACTATTCTGCTGCTCTTAATGGCCCCTCACATCTATACATTTCAGAAATCTTTGGTTAACCAGTGCTGCCAAAACAAAGATACAGTTACACCACAAAAGCCCTTTTTTCAACCTGCCCACTGAAGAGAAGCGCTTTCCCCAGTTCACAGCAACCCTTTTATAGTAGTTGGAGTGCTCCAGACTGAACGACGTGCGTGTTTATTAGTAATAAGAATGCACCTCCATGCATTTGACTTGGCTAATTAGTTTAACAATCCCTGAAAACTGAAGTGAACCATAACACTCAAGATAGATGCCTAGCTGCAAAGGAAAACGTTCTTCTTCCAGGACACATGCCTTTCACCAAGAACCAGCCAACCAGGCACAGAGACTACACTGTCTCATACAACACCAATGAAGCACAATCAGCATCAGCCTTAGTCCAAGGGGACCGATACCTCAAAGTCACATGCCCAAGGAATGTCAAAGAAATAAAGCTTACTTTCTTCCAAAACACATTCTTAAGAAAATGACAAAATTTCCTCTTTTTTAAAGTACAAATCCATCTTCCTTGACTTTCATTCTAAGCATCACATTCTTATTTTGACTCTTTCTACTAGCCTTTACTGGCACATGGCATTGATTTTAAAAGTCTCATCTAGAGGTGCCATATCGGATTAGTACCGATAAAAGGAAAATTAACATCATTGGCTAACAGCTCTCTGGGGCTGGTGCAGCCAATAATGTTAACTGATAAATATAATATGCCTTCTGGCGGGGGCCCTCAGACACTGCGTGCATGC